TATTATTACAAATAAGCATTAATTTTATATCCTATATACAACTTTGATTATAATAATTAATTTTTAATATTTGTAAGTCTAAATCTCAGAAAGAACATTTAAATCATTTAATTTAAATTTACGATATTTAATTAAAACCAAATTCCGATTAAGAATAAAGAAACCAACTAGTATTAGTTAAAACTAGATTCTACTTCCATTTAGCAAAGATTTCAATATTATATATAAACTGATGAAAAAATTAGACATAAAATACAATAAAATTGGGAAGACTAACTAATTACTGACAATTTTTTAAGACTTCAAATTGAGAAAGTTGATGAGTTGTTTCATTAAATCAAAAAATGAAATCATCTACTTCTTTTTATTCATTTGAAATCATGATAATTTTTCTTAATTTTTCTACGTTCCAATAAAAATAATTCTTCATTCTTCATTAATTGTCTATTGAAGAGAATATCACTTACTAAGGATACAGTTTAAAATTCTCATCAAATAGTTAAAATAAAGATATTAATAAGATAATATAATACAAAATATATAATCTTGTAATAGTTGATAGCTATTATATTTTCAGTCATCTATTCCTTTAAACAATAAAATGTATTAGTTGGAAGAATGTGAAACAAAATTATACGATTATTCATAAAAACACAACAGTATAGGTTAAATGGAGAAATGAGAGAATTATAATAGAGAATTAAAGAAATATAAGGATATGTTAGATAAAATCAATTATTTTTTGTTTTTTGTAAGTTGCCTTGCAATTATCGAATTTTTTTTATTTTAATATTTACTTAATTCCTTTCTTTAAACTTTGATTTCATCATCATATTACCTAATTAATTTATTATTATTCAATAATTTAATTGTCATATAAAAATAGGTAATTTAATTAAAAAGATTTATTAATAATATGATCATTAAGTATTTTTCTAGGTCCTTTTTTCAAACTTCAAAAGCTGTTCGCTTTACTTTCGACGAGATCCAAGACTGTAATAGCAATTTAAACGAAAAAATTGAGGTAGCTTATGGTTCTCAAGGCTTGGGTCTTGCAATTGTTAGTGGAATTCCTAACTATTCAAGGATGCGTCATTAGCTCTTGCCTCTTGCTCAAAAACTGGCAAGTTAGCCTTAAGAATACCTAAAAACACTTGAATAACCATCGAGCTTTTATTCTAAAGGATGGAGCTGTGGTGTAGAATAGGTATTTACAATTTATTATATAAGTTCAAAGGGAAATTTGATAAATCCAAAGGATCCTTCTATAATAATCCTATTTATGATGAATTTCAACCTTTAAATGTGGAATTTTAGGATTAAATAAAAAAAGGAAATCTTATTAGAATACCAAATGTCTGGCCTAGAAAACACATCCCAGAATTAGAAGGAGCATTTAAAAATTTAGGTCGATTGATGGTTGATGTAGGGGCTTTGCTAGCTTATCATATAGATAAATATATTCATTCAAAATGTAATACTTATGAAATGGGAAAATTGTATCGATTTATTAGAACAGGTGACTCTCATGTTGGAAGGTTATTACATTATTTTGATGGACCAAATACTGAAGAATGGTGTGGATGGCATAATGATCATAGCGCATTAACAGCTTTAACTTGCCCAATATATATGAATTAAGATAAAATTATGGATTATTAAGATAAAGAAGGTGGTTTATTTGCAAAAAATAGGTTTGCCGAAATTGTCAAAATTGGAATGGATCCAGAATGTTTGGCATTCTAAATAGGAGAGACTGCTTAGATTGTCTCTGGGGGAATTGTAGAAGCAACTCCTCATTGTGTAATATTACTAACTATCATAGGTTGTGAAAAGTGATGAAACTGTAAGACTAGGATTGAACAGGAATACTTTTGCTGTGTTTATGGGACCAGTATTTCATGAAATTTTAAATGTTCCATAAGGCATTGATAAATCTAGCGCCCTTAATAAAATCGCCTACAACATCCCTCCTCTTTTGGGAAGATGGGATTAGGATATGACTTATTTAGAGTATAGCTCAAACTGCTTAAAGGCATATTCATGATTATTATGTGAGAAATTGACTAATTATGATCAATATTATTTAATAAAAATAATCCTTAAAGAACTGAATATAAAAATTCTCACAATGCAATTCAATTATTCATAAATGGAAGAAACTCTTAATATTTTAGACATTCTTTTTATAAATATTTTCTCATAAATGTTATTATATCGTTATCAAAAAATGGATTTATTGAATAACAAATTTAACTGCTCGCTAATGATGTTATCAATAATCACTACTCTATTTTTTAATTTACAATTTTTATATATAATTAAATAAACCATTCAATAAATTGAGATAGAAAATACAATTTATATTAAGTCTCTATTAGATTTAAATTATTTTTCAAAAGGTCTCTAGAAATCCTTCAATTTTTTAATTATGTGTATATTTTGATATTCTTTATGGATTAATATGATGATAAAATTAATTAATTACTATATCATCCTTCTTATTCTTCGCCCTCTCCTTCAGCTGTCTCAATCCCAACTTCTTCATAGTCTTTTTCAAGAGCTGCTAAATCTTCTCTAGCCTCTGAAAATTCTCCTTCTTCCATTCCTTCTCCAACATACCAATGAACGAATGCTCTTTTAGCATACATAAGATCAAATTTATGATCTAACCTAGAAAACACCTCCGCAATTGCAGTTGAATTGGATATCATACAAACTGCTCTCATTACTTTTGCTAAATCTCCTCCCGGAACCACAGTTGGTGGTTAATAATTGATACCAACTTTAAATCCAGTTGGGCACCAATCAACAAATTATATAGTTCTTTTAGTTTTGATTGTGGCAATAGCAGCATTTACATCTTTAGGAACAACATCTCCTCTATAAAGCATTGAACAAGCCATGTATTTGCCATGTCTTGGATCACATTTGGCCATCATATTTGCTGGTTCAAATGCTGAATTTGTAATTTCCGCAACTGATAGTTATTCATGATATGCTTTTTCAGCAGAGATGATAGGCGCATAAGAACAAAGCATAAAATGAATTCTTGGATAAGGAACCAAATTTGTCTAAAATTCTGTAATATCAACATTTAAAGCCCCATCAAATCTTAAAGATGCAGTCAAAGATGAGATAACTTAGGCAATCAACCTGTTTAAATTTGTGTATGTTGGTCTTTCAATATCTAAATTTCTTCTGCAAATATCATATATAGCCTCATTATCTAACATAACGCATACATCTGTATGCTCCAACAAAGAATGTGTTGATAAAATTGAATTGTAAGGCTCGACAACAGCTGTTGATATTTGGGGTGATGGATAAATAGTAAATCCTAATTTTGATTTTTTCCCATAGTCAACTGATAATCTTTCTAATAACAATGAACCAAGTCCAGATCCAGTTCCTCCTCCAACTGTGTGAAATACTAAGAATCCCTATAGACCAGTGCAATTATCAGCCAATTTTCGAATCCTGTCTAAACACAAATCAACAATTTCTTTTCCAATTGTATAATGTCCTCTTGCAAAGTTATTTGCAGCGTCTTCCTTCCCTGAAATCAATTACTCGGGATGGAATAATTGTCTATAAGTACCAGTTCTGACTTCATCTATTACTGTGGGTTCTAAATCCAAAAAAACAGATCTTGGAACATGTTTTCCTGCTCCAGTTTCTGAAAAAAAGGTATTGAAAGCATCATCTCCTCCTCCTATTGTTTTATCTGATGGCATTTATCCATCAGGTTGAATTCCATGTTCAAGACAAAACAATTCCCAACATGCATTTCCTACTTAAATGCCTCCTTGTCCTACGTGAATAGATATAACTTCTCTCATTTTCAAGTGTTTTATGATGATAACTCTTAAAAAAATGATTATTCCTTTTCTGTTAGTTTGGCTTTGAAACTGAGATATCTTCAAGAAGGGGGTCGAAAATGTTATAAAAGAAATATTTAGATAAAATGATAAATTAATAAAATTTTCTGCAGTTAAGAAAAATTATTCAAATTTACAAAGAAAACAGTTGGATATTTTCAAATTATAATAGATGTCCTTGACCTTAAATATAAGTTGGTCTCAAGTTATTGTTCCCAATATAAAATAGAATCATATCTCAATAACAAAAATATAATGTAGGCCATTAAATAACATAAAAAATTAATATGTAATCACTAGTTTTTCTGTTCACCTTCTTATTAAAATTTTAAAGAACTATTATCAACATTCCTAAATTAATTATTGATAAAATGAGAAGTTAAGAATTTACATAGTCGTTCATCGATATCAAAAAGTCGTATGTATGGAAAATGAGGTATTTTAAAATAATTCTAATATCTATCAAGAGACTTTTATTTTCTGTGAATTTTGACAAAATCTAAAAAACAATTTGAATTGAAAAAAAAAGAAGGTCTAGAAATTAACATCAGAAAAAAAAAACTAATAGAATAACAAAATTTGCAACTAAAATAACTAAATAGAACTTTATTTTTTTCTAATTTATTGAACAGACCTACATTATTTTTTAATAATATCAGCATATATTATTCTTGAGATATTTAATTGATTTATTTATATTTCAGATAGATAAGTGTTAAATCAATAAGATTTTTAAGCTCTCAATAATAATTTGGTCTCTTATTAATAACTATAATTTTCAAACTCGTGATTGAACGAAAAATGGAAAGGATTACTAATTTAATATCGAAAGTAAAAACATTTCATAATATAATTTGTTAAACAACAACAATTAGCGCAATTATAAAAATTAATGAAGATTGATATGCTCCCCATCTCAATCTTAAGAATGGAGGCCTGTACTCTAAATTAAATATAAATAAAACATTTTGAATCTAACTTTTAAGGAGGTTTAATAAAATAGAGTTCTTAGATGTTGACATAATATATTATCTTAATAAATTCTTCGATAAATTATCTGTTTCTTACTGTAATTAGATAAAAATTTATTTATAACTTTTCTAAGTATTAAAGAAAATAAGCCTCTAGCAGGTGTTTTTCTTTGTAATTTATTCTAATCTTTTGGTTAATTATAAATTTTTCTAACTCTAAAGTATAGTAAAAATATCATTTATATGAATAAGTAATAGAGCATATTAAAGATGCAAAAAGTTTGAAACACTATTAGAAATGTTAAGAAAAATATTATAAATCAAGTCAATAAGATGAATCATCTGATCAATTTTGTCAATTAATTTATAAGAAAATGTTAAGAGTATTTAGCTTTTATAAATAAAGAATTTATCTTTAATATTAACGAATATGGAGAATTTTAAACTTGAATAAATCGAAGATTATATGTATCAAATAGTAATATATTATTAGATCAGTTATGGAAATCAAGAAAGAAGATAGTAAAAAAAAGGGTTAACTAAAATAAACTTAATAGTTGATTGAAAAGATTGATGATTTGAATTCTATTTCCATCATCTATAAATCCATAAAATAAGCTGATTAATACGATGCAGAAGTATAATTCTAAAAAATTTAAGTTATAAATGTTAGAGCTTTAATAAAAACTATAACTAGAAGAATTTGATGATGCTTGGGAAGATCTTTACAAAATTGAATAAGACAGAATTAAGGAAGCTGAAAATACTATTTACTCACTCCATTTGTATAATATAATATAATCTTAGCAAGGAAATGGAATAATTATAAAAATAATTACAGGAGTAATCTATTCCAAAAATTAAATTTTCTTCAGATATCATTTAAAAATAAGCCTTGTATAATTAGTTATTCAGAGCTGGACAGTATTATTATAGATGTATATAGTTATGCCGATGCAGATCTAGTTCAAAAAAAATTGTAAGAATAGATTGATATAGAAAACTAAAAATGGGAAAAATAACATGTTGAGAAAATAGAGAATAAGTTGAATTAATTAACCAAAAAATAAATTAATGAGTTACAAGTCCTAAAATAAAAACTTAATAGCTAAATCTAATAATTCATTATAAATAGAGATAATTAAAAATAATTATTAATAAATAAGTTGTAAATAATTAAAGTTGAGAAGGAACAAAAAATAAATTAAGATATTAGCAAGATGAATCAATAAGTTAACAAATTATTATAAAAATTGTCGCTGCAATAATGAACATTATTGATAAAGTTTTAGAAATCATCTAATCATTTTATTCTTATTACACATTTCCTCTTTCATAATTCTAACGAATTTTAGCTTTCACGCATAATTGAGTCCGGTTTTTCTTACATAAATTTGATTTTATACATCTCTTACGTCTAAATATTTTATTTATCTTTCTTTTATGTAATTTGATTAATTCAGATTTTTAAGTTAGTCAATCTTCTTAGTTTATTAGAATTTTATATCCTATCTTATATTCTTTGAGATTCTCCTAATTGCTTATTCTTTAATCAATTATTTTATTTGATTTGGTTTCCTCAGGCATGTGATGCCAAATAATGTCAATTTATTTTTTTAATCAAAAATTTTAAGACAGTGAATATCTGTTATAATTTTAGTAGTGGAATTGAAGGAGGAGTTTATTTTTTATCGTAGCTTGTCACTTCCATTAAAAATACTTCTATAATTTCAATATTGTATTGAAATTTTATCTATAATAATTTTTTTATGTCCCCAACTATTTCAAGTACCTTTTGAATTTATTTCTTAATATATTTGGCAAATAAATGCTTGAAACTACCATTTGTTAAAACACTCTATATACACTTAGTGTTGGCAGATAATTAAGTAGCTAAATTTCTTGAAATTAGAAACCCATTATGATTAAAAACAATAATTTGTGGATAATCTTCATTACTCTTTTTTTTATATAAATAATAATAATTCTAATTTACTAAACGAGAAGATGTAATAATGAATAAAAATAATTAGAACTGCATGACTAGTTAAACACAGATTATTAAATTAGCAATATAGAGGTTCACCAAAAAAACAAATTTTTGGATGATAATATATCAAAAATTTGAACATGAGAGTAATTATGTCAACAAACTGACCAAAGAAATATTTTGAAAGTATAAAAGTTTATATACAATATAAAAAGCTTGGAGAAAAAAACAAAAAAGATAATTATGTGTAAATAAAAAACTGGGAAAGGAATTAGAAAAGGGTAATTATATTCAAATTCTAAGTGAATAAATCGATAAAAGAAAAACAGAATTTTAAAGATAAAGAGAAACGGATTTATAAATTATTGATTAAAGTAAAGGGAGATGAGGGGAAAAGTATTTTTTTTATATTTAGTGTTTCTTAGAGGATTATATTGACTAGTGAATTAAAAAATAGAATGTAGTAAAATTTCATAACACAATAAGACAAGCAGAAACTGAAATTAGAGATTAATTAGAGGATCAAAAAAATGGAAAATGATTGATCAGAAAACATCTCAGTAATAATTACTTAATCACACAATACTTATTTTAAGAATGATCTTACATTTAGAAATAATAAAATAATAATCATATCGTTTAATAGGTTAACAATAAATATGATTTATCATTATTGTTGTAGCATATTTTCACTTTCTGAAACTTTACCCCAAAACTATTCTGCAATTTATGATAGACTAATTTCATAAGAAATAATATTCTTAATCATGCAGTAATATTGATACTGTTTTTCCCCTTTAAATTTATCGATTTCTACATATCCAACAAGAACTGTTAGAATATCGCAGATAAATTAATAGCTCTCAATTTCTTTTCCTACATCAACAATTTGTTATTAAAGCTTAGCAACATTATCTTCCTTTTTTCCTGTAGTAAATAATGTTCTAATTGTAGTCTTTCCTGCTAAAACTTCTTATAATTGCAATTATAACTCTTTTTAACGTTACTCTGCATTTGATTTCTATTACTCATACTTTTCTCTCTCTTCAAATGTCTCTAGAAATGCCTTTAATTTAATGTCTATTCATTACCTTCAACTATTTACCCTCTTTTCTAACTTCTTAATATAGTTATTAAAACTTAGGATCTTTCAATAAGTCGCACTAAATAATTAAAATATTGCTTTACATACTAATTAATTAAGCCTTTGACTTCTTCATTTTGGATTAAATTTGCAAATATTAGTTTCTCTTTTTGTTCAGCATATTCTAACAATACATTATTTTCATATTCTGGAACAAATATTGTTATGAAATGAATTAAGGATGTTTAATGAGCTGATTTGGCTTCGGCGATATTTTTTGCAATTTACTTAAAATTTTATACCATTGGCTAAATTTTCTTAATATATGCCTTGAAATCATTAATTTTCGAAATTATCTCTCGATTAATTTCTTTCTATAAGTGAATAATTTTAATAGTTTACTCCAGATAATTCTGAGAAGGATTCTTGATATTTATTGATGATCTCTTCATTTGTTATTTTAGGAATAGATAACAAAGCCTTGTATGACGTCAAAAAATACTTTTTCAATTTCTCCAGGGGTTTTTAAGAAAATTTAAAATTCTTCTGAATACCATAAATATTTGAGAGTTGCTATTTTCTTTAAAAAATCTTCGAGCATCAACCTTCTTTCATCAATAAATTATTATTCCATATTGCCCTATAAAGATTAATAATATATTTACAAAGGCTTTTCTTGGAGGAACAGGTGGTATATAGCATCCTGGCCATTTTGTCAAAAGGAATGATCTGATTGTCTTAAAATCACTAAATCTTCTCTAAACATCAAATTGTCCATTTTTATCCATTCCCTTCACAGTGTATACAATGTATTTATTTATCCCTGGTTATACTTTTGGATCGCAAACTTAGAGTACTATCTAACAGAAGTAGTGATAACATACCTCAGTCTCGTCAGATTAATCCATATTATTAAAAATAAGATATAAATATAATGAAGCTTAATTCTAATGTCCTCTAGTAAATTCAAGATCAAATAAATTGCGATATAAAATCTCTAAATATCAATATGAGATAATACTTAAGTTCAAGTTGCCACCCTGTAGATTAATATGATAATGATTCTTGTGTTTTCATTCTTCATGGTGAATTTAAATTACTTCAAATATAAGACAATACCACCATACAAAATATATAGAAGAAAAGAAGTATCATATTAAGATATTAGTCATCCAACTATTATATCTTTTGAAAAATTTCTGTTAACATTGATAGAAGAGATTAATATTTCAATTATGGATGTTAGATTTATCATCAGTTATTTTAAATATCCTAATGATACATTTGACAGATGAGTTACTCCTTAATGCTTTATATTCTGAAAATACTTATATTGATAGGAAGATGGTATTTTAAGTATTAGATATAAATTATTAATAAAAGAAAAGCACAATGCTCTCTCCTGATTTCATTAATTGGGTATTATTTTCTCTTCCTTCTTTTCATCTTCCCTTTTTTCTTCATCAATAAACACTTGATGCTTGCTTTCTTCATCACATTTTGTATTCTTTTCTCTAGGTCTTCCTCTACTGCCATAATGCTTATCACTTGGAATCTATGTACCTGTAGGAGGTTAGCCTTCATGTTTAATTCTGACATTTCTAAATGAAATACTTCAAATGAGTATATAATGCAGGATAACTATAGTACCCACGTCCACATCCACAAGTGTAGGGTCTTGGATTTTCATCGTGTTTCGTACATCTCCTAATGCGCTTCTTTGCACTCGGATGGTCCTGCTATTATGACATCTATATATATTTTATTTAATTTATTTTATTTTATATATGTAAATCTCACAATTATTTCCTACAGAAGTAACGCTCTTTATTTTATTTTACTTTCTATTCTACCCTGCCAATAATTCTCTAATCCATTTTTTATTTTAATCCTAGCCTGTCTCTTGGATATTCCAAGCTTATGTTATTTGTTTATCAATATTTTTCCTTTGCTTTCTTCCTTCTATTATTCGCTCTCAGTTTATTTAGAGTAAATTGCTATTTAACTCTTATTTCTTCTACTTCAATTATAAGTTTTGTTCACACATGTTGTTGCTTTTACCATATATCTCCTTACATTTTTCATATCATTATTACCTTTTTCATACTTTTTTAAACAAAACCTCAGAATTAAGTTTAGGGGTATCCTCAAAGTTACTTTTCATCTCCTTTCATTAATTGAATATTATTCAGATTTCATCATTTTATTCCAAATTGTACTTAATGTATTTCAAACATAAATAAAAAAATTATCATTTATTTCTCCATGCTTCTATCTCTCTAATGCTAAGCCTGGTATAGAAAGGTAAAGATACAGAGCTAGATAACTTGACATTTAATTATCTTAAGCAACTTAAACTCATTCCTTTTTCGTATAAAATATGAGGCAAAACTTCATAAGTAGCTGCCAATAAATTTTATGTAATTTAATCAGGAGTTTATGCAACTCTTCCTATTTTTACAGTACTAAAATATCATGTCTAAATTACTATACAGGGCCATTTCCTTGTATAAAATAAGTGGAGTTTGATAATTCGTTCAATTCCTCTTAGGTGATATTTTCACAATTAACTGGAAATGGTATTCTAATTATGAAAATTCATTACTTTTTTCTATCATAGAAGATTTTTCCTAATCCTTTTGCCAAACTTCCATATATCTTTTAATCACAAAAGAATTGATCATATTCATAAAATAATTTTCTCTTATCTGTGTAAGTTGGGTATTTTTTGTTCAATTTACAATATCCAATTACTTTTTAAATCAAAGGAATATCAAATTCGCAAATTTAATCTTTGAACTATCTTTAAGGATTTGTGCTTATGATACAGAATTTTGAATTCATTTCCTAATTGTAAATTGCATTTGGTAATTTTCTAATATTGATTAATCTAATTTTTTACATTTACACAGGTCTCAATGAATACCTGATCGGTTATTTGTTCAATACAATTTCTAAATAGATAAAGTCATCTTTGATGTCAAGAATATTTGTAGTATGAGTAGATTCTTTGTATTTTAATACTGCATTTATTGCCTTCTTAATTTGTTTTAAATCCAGATTCACTAGTTTCCTTAAGGATTAGCCTATTTTTGTAATTCTAGTCTTTTTCATAGTCAAAACCTGCTCCTTGGTCTAATTCTTTTCCACTTTTTCTTATTCAATATTTTTGCCCATAATTTATAATTATAAATTATTTGTGTAATTAATTTAATGTGTCAAACAACAAATACCAGTCATTTGATAAAACTGATGCTATTTATAGAGATTGATATTGTGATATTGAAACAAGTCACTGCTTGATCAAATTATTATTTATATTTCGATGTCAAATAATTGAAAATTGATTTAAAATCAGTTATTTAAATCATCAAAATAAGCATGTTTTAGGGCTTCCTCAGCAGTGATTCTAGCATAAGGATCATATGTTATCATTTTAGAAAGGAGATCTAATCCTAATGGGCATAAATTAGTAATGTCTTTTCCTAAAGTGGCTGCTGGATTAGTAGGAGTTGGCCATCTTGGGAAGGTACTCTTAAAATCAGGTAAAGTAGTAACACCAGGCCAAGTAGTTTCTTTAGGAGTACCCATAATCTTAAATATCTTAAACAACTAATCTATTTCAGAATCTCCACAAAATAATGGTCTTTTTTGTGCCATTTCAGCAAATATGCATCCCAATGACCAAATATCGACTGGTGTGGAGTATTATCTTTACCCAAGTAAGATCTCAGGGGCTCTGTACCATAAGGTTATGACTTCATGAGTGTAGGTTTTTAAAGGTAAGCCAAATGCCCTAGCCAATCCGAAATCTGCTATTTAGGTATTTTATTATTTGATATCTACTAGGATATTTTGTGGTTTTAAGTCTCTGTGAATGACTCTATTTTAATGACAATAGTTTAAGGCTTGTAACATTTAATTTATGAACTTCTTCACTTGCATTCTATCTAACTAAGGTACACTTTCCATATATTTTTTAAGATCTAAATCTACAAAATCAAATATTAAATATAATCTTGATTCATCATAAACTACATCTTTTAATGGAACGATATTTGGATGTTGAACCTTTTATGATTAATCAAATTTTACTTCTTTTAATAATGAAATTTCTCTAATTGCAGTGGATGGAACACCTTCGTCTTCATGATCCATTCTTATTTTTTTTAATGCCACTATATCGCCAGTTTGATTATCTCTTGCTTTGTATACTAACCCATATGTTCCTTCTCCTATTTTTTCCAATTTTTAATATCTTTCTTCGCTTTATGCAAAATCCATAACTAACAGCAATTCGTTAATTTTAATTATTTTATATTCCCGTATTTATTGAACTTTAATACTTTTATTCGACAAATCAAGTATTTACTCTTTGGATCATATTAAAAACTATAGCAAGGATCTTTTATTTTACTAGAAATAGAACTAATGTGAAAAAAATCCCCTTTAATAAGTTTTAAGTCAAAAAATATTTCTTACTTATCAGAAAACCAAAGTTGTTTGAATGTTTCAATCTGAAGCTGATTATAAGTGTTAAAGAAAATGGATTTTGCAGCAGATGTGTGCATTTTATTAATCTATATTGTTTTATTAATAAAATAATGGATCAAATTTAGACAATAGCATAACGATTACGATATGCTCCTCCAAATTCAAGAACTTCAGCATTTTAATTTTAAAATACTGTGGCAACATCATTCGTGATAATTCCAGTTGAAAGATCTTCATTTCCTTCTCCAAAGAATTTCTTTCTGTAATATAGCTTTCCATCCTCAGTTGCAACCACTATGCATCTATGACAACATCCAATATTTGTAATTTTAGCAATGCCACTGGGTAGAGGAAATCTGAATAAATTAAATTATGAATCTACCTAACTGGAGAATATTCAGCCTTACTGCCAGACCAATAAACTTCATTATTATCTAAGAGTACTGCTACAAGATCTTCTGCAACAACAAAATCTACAATCTTATTATTTCCAAATTTGTCTCTCACAACCTATGTTGGAAAATTGGCTGTCTCATATATTTCAACTCCAATCTCGTTTTTGATGCCCATTTACCCAAAATCATTACTACCCCATCCATAGAGATTTCCGTCACTCATCAAAGCTACTGAATAGTTATTGCAAGACTTTAATTTAACAATGGAAAGATTTAATTCTTTCTTTAAGTATCCCTCAAAAAACTCGTTTCTTTAGGGAATATTGAAAGACTTATTATTTCCATCTCCAAATACACCGTAATCACCTTTACCCCACACATATAACTCATTATTTTCATTTATGGCATTTGTGAATCTCAATCCTGATTGAATATATTTAATTTTCTTAAGTGATCTTAATGCCTTCACTGGAGTAGGTGTGTATCTATTTTTTGAATCACCATGACCTAATGCTCCAACTTATAAAAATAATAAATCCATTAAAAAGTTTTATTCTTTGCCTCCATATCCCCAAGTCCAAACATCTCCATCATGAGTTAAAGCAACTGTATGATAATCCCCCAATGCAACTTATTTCACTTTAAGATTATGTTTTGTAAAGAATTCAACTAATTAAGGTGTATTATAATCCTTATCTAATTTGCAATCAGATCAATACCATTGTTATGTCCCAATTATCCACTATTACCAGTCCCCCATGTATAGAGCTCTCCATCACTTGTGATTAAAGCTGAATGGTTTTAACCCATTTAGACTTATGCTACATTATTATTAAATCCATTGACTAATTAAGGCATCGAAACTCCTTTCATTTATTGTTGACTTCCTACTGCATAACCTAAACTCCCATTAGATGAGCCCCAGGTAAACAAAGAACCTGTACTAAAAAGGTACCTTCGTACACTATTAAACATAAATTAATTATTATTTAATTAATTATGGTGAAGTATGAATAATTATTATAATATTAATTTTCTTAACATCTTAGTGTGGCCATGATGTATCTTAATTTATTATGATTTTTAAAGGGCTTTAATCATTAATTGGATATTGTTAAAAATATGATAAAAATACTACAAAAATTCAATAAAACACTCTTTCATTTCTCAAAAGAAGTATAGCTAAAGCAAAGTGAAACTTTGGGCAAAGGATTTTATCAATAGCAAATATTTACAGGATGCCTAGCTGAGTATGCTTATTATATTGAATCAAATAAGGAAGCAATAATTATTGATCCTCTTAGAGACATCTAGCCATATCTGTAAATATTGGATATATATATTTTTAGCAACATCGCAAAGGAAAGAGGAGCAAAAATAAAATATGTCTTATTAACACACTTTCATGCAGATTTCATAGCTGGACATTTAAGTTTATAGAGAGAAACTGAGGCTTAAATAATTATGGGTCCAAGGGCTACTGCTCCATTCATTAGCAAAGTTTTGAATGACAATGAGTATTTAGAAGTAGGAAAAGTTAAGATTCAAGCTCTACATACTCCAGGTCACACTTAAGAATCAACATGCTTTTTATTGTATGATGAGGAAGGAAAATAACATAGGTATTCAAAATATTAAATTATATAGCATTTATACAGGAGATACATTATTTTTAGGTGAAGTTGGAAGACCTGATTTGGCAGTGAAGAGCGATGTTACTTAATACGACTTAGCCTCATTGCTCTATACTTCTCTTAAATAGAAGATATTGGGATTGCCTGATGATGTTATTGTATTCCCTGGTCATGGGGCTGGTTCAGCTTGTGGGAAGAACATCTCAGCAGGTTATAGTTGCACTATTGGAAATCAAAAGAAAAACAATTATGCTTTACAAGAAATGGATTAAGAGACCTTTGTGTAATTAGTGGCTAGTGATTTGCCTAAGCCACCTTAATATTTCTTTTATAATGCAGGCTTAAATAAAACCAACCAATTTTAAGATCTTAGTTTGATATTAAAAAAAGCTAATACAAAATTGACTCCAGCGAAAGTTGTATCAAAATAAGGAATGCAAATAATTGACTCAAGAAATTCCATATCCGAAGGATTCATTCCTGGATCAATCAATGTGCCTCTCTAAATTCCGTTTGCTCATTGGGTTGGGACACTCTTACCTCACGATAGAGAAATAGTTATTGTTTGTGATCCTGGAAATGAAGAATAAACAATAATGAGATTATCTAGAATTGGATATGATAACATTGTTGGATATTTGCATTTTGATGATTGGAAATTATCAGGAAATCCAATCAACAAACCTACAGAGTTAGAAGTTTAAGATTTCTTAAAGAGAAGCAAACTTGCATAGATTGTTGATGTTAGAACCAAAGAAGAATGGGGCAAAGGCATTCTGAAACATGCACAATTAATTACTCTTAGTGAATTACCTTAAAATTTAGAGAAATTAGATAAATTAAGAGATATTAGCATATATTGCGGGACTGGATAAAGAGCAAAAATAGCTCATACATTATTGGTTGCCAATGGATTTACAAGAGTGTAATATTGCAAAGTAGGATATGATGATATCATCAAGTGAATTTTTATATTTAATATAATGATAAAATCTTTAAGTATGTTTATTTTGTTTTATATAATAATCAGTTTCAGTTCGCAAACCCTCATTATTATCTGGCCTACGCTTTTTCTGGATTATTCTACATCAAATAGTTAGCAATGAATTCAATAGGGTTAGGAGGTCTTTATTAAATTATACAAACTCACCTCACTTTAGCGACTTCAGTCATCGCTTAAAGTAGGATTGGGACGACTGTTTAATCCAAATAATTTCTTATAGGAAGTTATTGCAATTGCTTCATTCTCTAGGATAAATATAAAAATCTTGATTACTTCGTCTTCGCTCGACATGTATTTTTATTTGAAATTTAATTAATATCATTTATTTAATAAAAATGCAATTAGAAATACAACAAATCCAGCCATTGTTCCAAAACTTGAAAAATAATACGGGAAGGCTTAAACTAAATATCTACCATATTCATCATGTCTAAAAGGTCTAACAGTTATTTTTTCCGCTATTTTTAAAAATGTATATCCAGGTTTCAAATAATTGATTTTAAATTAAAATACACCATAAACATCTGGAATCTATAATAATTTGGATGGATAGGTACTTTAAATGATAATTCATATTTCGATCCCTCTCCTTTTTTCAAGGGAAGTCTGTAATATGGATCTAACATCACAAATTCTAGAATAACATCATTATCTGTTGAATTATAAGGTACCCATTAGTCCTTTTAGTAATCCCATTCATAGATGTCAATTGAAAAATAGCAATCCTCTCTCAATCTATAATTATAAGGTTTGATATCATCAGAATCTAATCTTCTATGAATCAGATTTTCTGCTTTTAAAATCTTTGATTATCCAAAACCCCATCTAATGATTTCTTAAGCTAATTCAAAGTTTCCCAAATTGGAATCGTTTACAAATTCATCACTCAAGATTTCCCAAGATCCTGTTGCCACAAATCTTGCATTGTTTCTTCCTTAAGTTGCTCCAACATAGATAATATTGTGACTAAGATTAGGACCTGAAAATGCTGTTTCTGACCCTCTCACTAAACCATAAACCTAAAATGTTTCATATGGTGTCATTGTTAATCCTGCTCCTTGATGAGCTACTGGTTTATCTACTTTAAGGATATTCACATTGTTTGTTGTAACAATATTTTGATTCCCTTTGATATTATTGAAGTAATCAACTACAGAAGACCCCTAAAAAGATAGCTTTTGATATTACATAGTCATGCATGTCTAAACCAAAACTATTTAAGAACTTTCTAAAGTATTTAGATTGGTCTGTTGATCCCAATAATAAAATATTTCTACCAGAGTCATAAAAGTCCAACAATTCTTAGGTGCTTACTTTCAAATCGTTAGTAGTGCTGAACAACACAAGATGATCATATTGCCATTCTCCAAACAACTACAAATTGAAAGTATTTGATTAGATGTTTTTATAATCAACTCTGTATGACTTACTCAACAAATTAAAAAATTGTGAATGTGAAACGTAGACTGCTGGATTATCAGATAGCACTAAAACTTTCTTTTGGTTGTATGGAGTCCCTGCCAATACTACACCAAGTATTAAAATTAAAAATTTAATCATAATTAATTAAAAACCTTCATTCAATATCTTAATGTACATTAAGCTTATTTATTTCATCAAATAGTTCCTCGAATACCCAAGATTGAGATTCAGAGATTGCTTAGATGGAAGATAATTATTCTTCAACTTCCACAGCCTCATTTTCCATTTGTTCAATATGTTATTGATTATCTTAGATTATAATTTTCTATTTGGTTCTTCGTTTCTTTAACCCTTTTTCTGTATGATTTTGGATGTATTTTTCTCCTACCTCGCTAACAATCACTTTACGGATTTTATTGCACAAATTTTCAATCGAGTTTTAATCTTCTTGATTTTATTCTTAGACTTTCCTTTTAGATAGCATCTTACTAATATTAATTATAAATTAATAAAATATAAAAGATTATGATTATGCTCAAATCAATCTTATTGATATCTAAAATAATTTTAAATTATAATAAAAATTAATCACAAACACAGAGACAATCCTCAATATATCTGCAACACCCCTGAATAGTTGTTTAGTATATCTACACTACTCTAAGAAAATTGAACTTCCTACTTACAAATTCTTATCCCTTAAGAGACAGGATATTTAAGTAAGGTCTCGTTGAATTCTTTGATTTTGGCACTAAAATAGTTATTTAAATTTTTACATTGTTAGTGATTTATCAAGATCTTTTTTCTATTCAATCAAATACAAAATTTAACAGAAAACCATCTTCATTAAATGCACTTACTTATTTTCTAATAAACATTTCGAAAGTTCACGTACATTTATATTAACTAACATAGAATTAATTTCATTTAATGAGATTTAATCTTGTCTGATTAATGCAAAAGTTAATTAAAATATTTCAATCAATTAAAATCTATGCAAATAATAATATTATTTATATGTCTTTGCTAAACTCTTTATTTTAGGATGTAATATCTCTAAATTTCTAGCTAAATGCTAACCTTTATCCGATTTGGCACCTAAATATGAAATACAATATTAATTGATTATGAAGCTAGATATTATCAAAACAAATTAGGTTTCATGATATAAATAGATAGCAGTTTCTATCAGAGTCTCTTAATTTTAATTAAGCAATAGTCTGATATAATTGCTCATTTCATCTAATTTCAAAAATATTGCAGTTTAGCAGTCACTGATTTAATTTTTTGTTGAGGCCATAGCCATTTATTATTATAAATCTTTCAGAGCAGAGTGCAAATTTTTTTCAAAATGCTGATGAACCATTTCATTTATGATTTTAAGTAATTGATCAAGTCCAAAAATATTTTCCAAGTTCTCCTTTGTGGTTTTATCGCTCAATACTTAAGAGACATGATTGCTTCTTTATAATAAGTTTGCAATAGACTCAGTATTGTATTCAGAGACACTTAAAATCAAACAAGAAATAAGAGGATATTTGCTCTAAGTATAATTTACAAGATTATCGATTATCCATTTAGTTTATTTTTCAAAATTTTCATTATTTTATGATTTGATGTTAAGGGTTGTAATCACTGCATTTAAAATGAAATATTCAATTTGTGAAAGGCATTAATTTTGAATTTTGTATAATTCATTCAAAATGTAATCATACCTTTGTAAAAAGAGATTAGTTCTTAGACAAACAGATGTTTAAGGTATAACCTCATGTAATTCTGCCAAAGTCCAATGAGGGAATGATTTTTTTGATTCATACTCTTATCTTTCATATTGGATGTAATTTTCAGAAACATGAGCTGTTTTCAAAATCATCCAAAAGAAAAAATCTTTATCTTTTTGAAACTTGGTTTCCTCAAAAACATCGTATGCTTCACTTACATCCATTAATAACCAATAGCATTATTGCAATATTATATCACAACATTATTACCTATATTTCTCTTCAACATCGTTTTGATTGATGATTTTTTTTTACTAAGTAATTAAGTTTACCAAATCAAAGAAGCTTAAGAATTATTAGGCAACATTCTAATCGCTAGAAATAAGTGTTTAAAGTAATTTCTCTGCTTCATTTACTTTTCCGCATCTCATCAATACAAGGAGAATACCACTTGGATAAAACTATCCAACTTAATATACTTCAATGTCCTGTAATTACGGAAGATAATATTCTTTAAATTTTCTATTTAAATTTTACAAATCAATATGTCCAATTTATTTAAGCATATCATTTTCTAGATGAGTCACAGTGTTTCTGATAATTTTTTCACTAAAAATACATTCATAAATGTATACCAAATATCTTCATAAGTCTTATTTTGTGTTAAGTCTTTGAATTGATCTGCCAACAATTTCATTTCCATTTTGTGAGGGGTTTCGAAATTTTCCAAACTTCTAAATAGTTTTTCATAAATCAATGGATTTTTTTTGTTCTTAATAAATTCTTACAGAACTTAATAAAAATGATGATCAATAAATAGCTTTTCTAAAATGACTTCATTATATTAATTAAGTTGAAATTCATTCGTCACCAGCCTTTCTATTCTATGGGATGTTGTTAGAATATCTGCTAATTTAGTCTTTTATCTACATATGCTTTTCTATTCAATATTACTGAATGAGTTGAATGTCTATCTGATAATATAAAACTTTTTACTTGCTTGTTTTTGAAGTGGTTTTGAGATATTTAAGAAAAGTTTTTGTAATCTTCAATTTTTATGTTAGATTGATATTGCGAATGTCTTATTTTCATATCCTAATTTACTTTTTCAGTTAATCTTTTGATATGATCACTCATATAATCCACATTATTAATTGATAAATTGAATTTCTTAAATAGTTAATCTACTTTTGTTCCCATTTCGTCAATTAGATAGCCTAGGTAGTAAATTGGTGCAAATTACATTGAGTCTTTTTGATTGGAATTAGACAATCAAACCGCTTACTCATTCTATTGAGCATGTAGTTGGTTGAAATTGATATTGTTAAAATAGTTTTCTCATTTATCTATTTAATTTTATCTGCTTCAATTGTGTCTTGAGAAATCGATTTGATATTCAACTAATTAGACCCAATGTTTGTTAAGGCATTTTTCAGCTGTAATCCCTCTCGATAACTACTCGAAAGCATTTATTTTTAATTTTTTTAATTAATCAAATTCACTATCATTATTTAATTATTTTATAAAACATTAGTTAATATTTTATTTTATTATAAATGCATTCATAAATCTCTTTATCAGAAATGTTCAGAAGTTATGAGCAAGACTATAAGGCTCATATGGAATCAGTTATGTTCGATCTCTTGAAAATGAGTAAAGATAGAAGGGAAGAAGCAGATAAAAATTTCTCCAAAGTTTCTGATGAACTTCAATAGACAGAATAATGCGTAATTTATTTCTATATAGATTTCAGATCAAATAAATGGAGTTGGAAGCCTCTACTCTGCCTGGTAGTTATAAAAAAGAATTAATGGAAACAATTAAGTAATATAAAAGGGACATGGCAAAAGTGGAGAAGGATTTTAAATAATTATAGTTGGATCAATAAGAAGACTCAAGCAGAGAAAAATTGTTCAATGACAGATAAATTAACCAAGCCTTGCTAAAATAAGAAGACCGCTTGATTCGACAAACATTAGAATTAGAAGCAGCCAAAAGAACTGCTTATTTGACTGAATAGTAAGCAAATTAAATCTCACTCAATCTTCATTCTTAATCAATGACTTTAGATAATTCAATAAGGAAGACTTAATATATCAGAGAAGACTTGGGAGAATCAAATAATTTAGTGAAAATTATGAAAAATAGAATAATGAAAAGAAAATTTATAGTCTATGGAGTTTTTGGTTTCCTAGGTCTATGTTTAGCAATTGCCATAATGAGTTGGTTTTTTTGATTAAGAATTCAATTTTAAAGTTTAATTATTATTATTAATTGAAAACTAAATGGCGGAAATCTTAGGGGACTTATTAAAACAAAAAAGAGACAACTTTCGAGTAGAATTAAGGAGAAAGGCAACTGAAGAACTCTTCAAACAAAAAAGAAGAACTTATACGAATAATGTGTAAACTTAATTGACGGATGAAATAATCCATATTTGGTAAATCAATTTAGTGAACTAAAATTACGAGGAAACCCTCAATGAAATAGGATTATATTTAAGTAATTCAACCGTTGAAGTATTAGAACTCATATAATAATTAGGATAATTTAAAATTAATTAATAGACATGAAGTATATTCCTTATTACTAAACATTTGGTATAAGTAGGAATTGAACTATCATATAATTGAATAATTACTTAAGATATTCGCAAATTTACATTCCCATAATGTATTTGATGATTTGAAACTATTACAAAATGAATAGTTAATGAGGAAATTGTTTTAGTTATTGGAAATGACTTCATATCAAAAAATTCAATCTCTAATCTTCTTCTTATTAGCGAATCTAACTGGGAATGATAATGGAGTCAAAGCAAGATAATTGGCAGATTATGAATTTTGTACTCTTCTCAAGAAAATGTGGATTAATAAGCAAATTTCCTTTGAAGTATAATATATTAGTAAATTTTGAGATTGAAAATATTAGATAATTCTGTTGGTTTTTAAAAAACTTTTTCTCCTATGATTCAAAAAATGTTGCGGGATTTACATTAAGAGAAGTATTTTGTCATTGATTTATTAAGGTCAAAGATCTTTTGCCAATTGTATTAGAATGTATTGATTAAAATGATAAGGAAATAAAATTCTATTCTTTATTGACTCTCAAGTATATGTGCTAGGCTAAAGAAGAAATACTTGCAGACATTTTTAATAAACTGAAAATGTTCAATAAATTAATTGATATGTAGAGGAAAAGTAATGATGAGGAGATTTAATTAAAAATACTTGACATTATAGCAACTTTTGCTATGGCAGATGATTAGATTACAACTTAATTAGTGAATGAGTTCAAAATCTTGGACTTCTTCTTATAAATCTATCTCTAACCAGGTAGAAGCAAGTAGATGGAATTCAAAAAAATAATCTTATGGGGATTAAATAATTTATGTTGTAATTAAAAATTTGAAGTATTACAAACTATAGTGCAGCATGATCTAATCTAATTTATGCAAAAAGATGAAAACGAAACAGAAATTATCAAAGATGTCTTAGAAGTTATTATTAGCGTTTCTTAATTAAAAAACACAGATTTATTAAAGTACTTTTTAATGAGAGGAAAAGTTGCAGATATAGTGATGAATTAGTTGAAGCTCAAAACATCAAAAATCGTTGTGCTTATGTGTTTGAAAATAATACATAACTTTGCTTTTCAAATTGGAAAGCATTCACAATATGATTTGAATATGGCGATAGAATTATTTATTTCCAAGGGCTTAGACAAACTACTTAATTAATTAGAATTTGATCCAGATAATGATATCAGTCTATTTGCACAAAAATTAACTGAGACTTTCCTTTAATGAATTGATATAATTAATTTATTGCCATTTATTATTATTGAATTTATGCACAAAATTCATTCGTCTTTGTAATACGATTCCTTCAATGTTGGGATTGTATAAAAATTCTGCCAGGTGAACTCGACTTCGCATTTGGATTGCCACACATAGAATGAAAACAATCCTACTGTTGTATGCCACATTCCATGATAAAATCTTAAATAATCCTAATACTCATCTTGGGATAAACTAAAAAACACTACGGCTGTCAATAAGATAAGCAATCCTTTTTTCATCTTAATAAATATTTGAGATTAGTACTTTCTATTTATTTAATTTTGGCAATCTTCTTCTTTTGATAATCAAAAAGATGCAAATAAATAATTGCATTAAAATAGGTCCTACAGTATAATTTAAATCCCATGGGGATTTGGCTTGTGCTATGAATGTAATAAACAGTCCGAAATAATTCAACATAGTTTCAAGATGTAAATTTTACAAATCGCTCAATTAAGTAAATAACATCTAAAAACAAACAATTGATCCAACATTATCTAATCGATGCCAGCCTCCTTCCTCAATGATGAAATACTTGCAATCAACACTTTCTAAAGTGTGATACATGAAACTTGTTATCAAGGTAAATATGGAGATATAAAATTAGAAATCCATTCTTTGCTTCCTGATAATTATGATTGCTGGAATCACGACAAAATTAGTTATTCCAGTGATTATAACCATCATAAACATTTCAAATTAGTTGTACCCATATTTAGAATGCACAACATTTTATATATCTGTCATTAAGTAATTAATTCATTTATTATAAATGCTATTTGAATTCTTATCAATCAGAATACCAAATGCATTTTCGAATTAGATTTTATTAAATTATATATCTTTCATATTGAAATACTTCTTACAGAAAAATCACATCTATACCTCGTCAATTGGAGCTTAATATATTCGAGTTTGGATTAATAATAATATTTATATCATTTCCATCATACACAAACATTGAAATCTGGTAAATACACAAAATGAAATACTTTATGCGTCTATGATCTGAACATTAATAATAATTAGAGATTAATTAAAAAATAAATTAATTTTTAAAAACATGATGAAAGTACAAATTAAGACCTATAGTAGATAGAAGAAGTGAAATCGACAACAAAAACCCAACGAATAGCACATCATAGTCATATCAAAGGATTGGGGTTATCTGAGGATGGTACTGCTTTGGAAAATGCATCTGGAATGGTTGGATAATAAATTGCTAGAGAAGTAACAATAAAGTAGTAATATTTATAGGCTGCAGGAATATTTGTCGATTTAGTCAAATCTAAAAAGCTAGCAGGTAGAGCATTGTTAATGGCTGGACCTCCTGGAACAGGAAAAACTGCAATTGCTTTGGCGGTAGCATAAGAATTAGGATCGAAAGTTCCATTCTATCCAATGGTGGGTTCAGAGGTTTATTCAGCTGAAGTGAAAAAGACAGAAATACTAATGGAGAATTTTAGGAGAGCAATAGGTTTAAGAATAAAGGAAACTAAAGAAGTTTGGGAGGGTGAAGTTACAGATTTGAAAACAGAGGAAAAAGATGATTAAACTGGGTATTAGCATATTTAAATGATAACATAGATATGGCAAAGTAGTATCAGCTGTAGTAATTACACTAAAAACATCCAAAGGATCAAAAACATTGAAACTAGATCCTTCAATCCATGAAAACTTAACAAGAGAAAAAGTAACAATTGGAGACGTCATCTATATTGAAGCCAATAGTGGTAATGTTAAAAGAGTCGGCAGATGCGATATCTACAATAGTGAATATGATTTAGAAGCAGAAGAGTATGTTCCATTGCCCAAAGGTGATGTACACAAAAAGAAAGAAATTGTTTAAGATGTTACATTACATGATTTGGATGTAGCCAATGCTAAACCATAAGGAGGTCATGATTTTGTGTCATTAATGAATCAATTGAATAAAAAAAAGAAAACTGATATCACTGATAAGTTGAGAGGTGAAATTAACAAAGTTGTGAGCAAATACATTGATTAAGGAGTGGCTGAATTAGTTCCAGGAGTTCTATTTATAGATGAATGTCACATGCTTGATATAGAGGCTTTTACATTCTTAAATAGAGCTTTGGAGTCTACTTTAGCCCCAATTGTTATTTTGGCTACAAATAGAGGCCAATCTTAAATCAGAGGAACAGATATTGTCAGTCCTCATGGATTACCAGTTGATTTGCTAGATAGGTAATATCATTTAAATATTATCATTTCAGATTGCTAATTATCAGAACAACTCCTTATAATTTAGAAGATATTATTAAGATATTGGCTATTAGAGCGTAAACTGAAGGCATAAAAATTTCCGAAGAAGCTCTATAAGACCTCAGTTCAATAGGAAATGAAGCCTCCCTAAGGTATATATATGGTCTATTTCAAAACTAGATTTGCTATCCTTTTACTCACACCAGCAAATATACTCGCTTAGACTTCTGGAAGAGAGGAAATTGGAAGACAAGACATTCAAGAAGTACATGAATTGTTCTTACATGCTAAATAAAGTTCAAAAGTGCTGGAGCAACAAGCCGATAAATACATTAGTTGATGAGTATTATATAATAATATAATAAATCGATTTGGTTCTACTTTACATATATTTCACATCAATGTTTTTTGGTGTTTATATTTTAATAATTATGGAAATGCAAAATTGAATCATAAATATTTGCTTAATCCAAATTAATCTTTAAGGCTCAAGTATTCATTTCTCATATTGACTCCAATTTGTCCAATAGCACTTTATGTACCATTATAAAGTGCACAATTATCAAAGACTAACAACATGTCTGCATGAAATTCTCTGCAGGATTTGTAGGCATTTACATTCAATTTATTCTGAATATAAGTTGATTATTACTTTGATTGTTCCGAAATCCATTGGTCTTTTAACAATTTCAAAATAATCATTAATATGATATTCCTTTTAGTCAACTGGTTTATGAAAGAAATACGCCCCTTTAGACTTCCATATTTAAGCTAATTATTTAATACAGTAGTACATACCAATTAATCTTTTGGCTAATTTCTCCCAAGTTTCATCTTCCTTGCATTAATTAATCATATTATCATCAATGATGTCGTCAGCATTTAAAATCAATTAAGCAATTTCTGGGTATTATCTTTAGAACCTTGAAAAGTCTTCATTTGTCAATTCTCTTTACTGTCCTTTATCATCAGTATGTAAAATTTTGTATTATTATTTTGGTACATCTTTTTGTTTTTTTTTGTTTTGCTTTTATTATTCAGTAACTTTGACAACTTCCTCCTTTTTTTAGTGAACGTCTTCCTTTTGTTTTGTCATACTTGCAGTAATTAAATCTATCACCTCCTTTTTCTAAGATTACTTTGCAAAATAAAGCGCAGTTTTTTTTTTATTGTCTTAATGATTAACTGGACATCCAGCCTAGATTGTCAGATGTTAATCTTACCTCTATTAATAATCGACAAGCTTCAAAGTGTCCTTTACTTGCAGCATAAAATAAAGCCGTTTAACAAGATAATGTATCCAAATGAGCCACATCAGCACCCAATCTAATAAATCTACAAAGGTTTTTTCTTATATTTACTTTTAAATGATATCAACCCTATTTTCTCTTGATGCATAAAACAATGGAGTTTATCCATAGGAATCAGGATCAGATATATTTATTCCTTAGGATATCAAATAATCAAACAATTTAGTTTTACCATCTCTACACACATAAAATAAGATTGATTATTTAAGATTATCTTTATAGTTAACATTTGCCCCCAACTCACATAATAGTTTTAGTAATTGTAATGAAACTTCCTCGTCTGATCCTTATATTGCTATAAATGTAGATATTTATCTTGTTTATGGATCTATTCTGTTTACTAAATCTACTTCTTTTTAATATTTATCTAGGATTAAATATGTTATTGCATACTTAAGATATGCTTCACTTTTTCAATGTGTTATAAATGTAAAGATTACTTAAATTCTCCTTGAATTGCATAAATTTATTCAGATGTCAATTTTTCAATTGGGATTTCTTATTCAACAGGTTGAAGCAATTATTGGAACTAATTAATGTCTATATAGTTAATCATCTCACCTATTTCAGATTTGATTTAAGAGACTATTTACTGTATCTATGACTCATTATAATTTAAACTTTGCAAAATGTTTTCAACCTAGATTGAATTTACTCTGTCATTATTTGCCGCCATTCTAAATCTGGTTAGAGCAGTTTATAGAAAATTTTATGAAATCATAATTATTAAATTAAATAATAAATGAAATTCTTAGAAAAATCAACTTAAATTACAAGTATTCGATGCTTAACAATGTACAATATTTATTGCTCATCCAATCGATATATAAAAATAGAAATTAAATATATATTTGTTTTTCAATAGATTATACTAATCAATGTTTTTTAGCATATTTTTATGTATATTCTCTTGCCTTCATTAAAGCTTAACCTTCATTAGCTTTCCATAAATTAGCTGCTTCATTATTTAATGGATCATCCTTTATATTATTTATGACAAATCATACTGGGTTTGGTGAGCTCAACAACACCTAAATTGATAGCAAAATAGATCTGATTTATAACGCTGGTGACCATTTATCTTTTAAAACATCCAAGCAAATTCTTCCCAAATTATCAATATTTGGATGATAAATCTTAGTATTGAAAACACATTTTGGGGGGGACTAATTAAGTCAATTTTAAGTAATTTTACCATTGGATAGTCATCAGGTAAAAGCAATTCAACATCAAAAACACCTCCTTCATATGGTGTATTAGGAGGTCCTGATATTATGACAAAGAAATGTTTGAAGTTTTGTGGATCTGGAGTCACATCAATTCCTTACACTTTATCCTTAGCTAAATTCTATGTCTCTTTTATAATTCTTGGAGTTGGTTAAGCCATAAATTGTTGAAATTATATTTATATTAATATTTAATATTTGTATGATAAATAATATTTATACTCATATTCAATGAAAATATTCAATAATTAATTAAAATGTCGTCAGGAATGTTACGTTCAAGATTTAAATATGTCAATACTATCAGAAATGATTTCTTTTTGGAATATTTGAAAAATAATAAATTTCAATTTAAATGTTTTTCTACTCTAATAAATGAATTTGATGCAATTTATTATTGTTCATCTTATTGTGACCATAAATTGAATATTTTCACCCACTTTTAGAGGATAATCATTTAAATAAAATACTTAGTTTCAAAAGAAAATTATAATGTATTATATTCAAATTTAGGTATTCTAAATAATACATATTGGGAAGCGATTCAAATTAGATTGATGATAATTTTTACAATTCATTTTAAACAAGCCTATTTTCAATTATATACTTTAGAATTTTAATTAACTCAAAGATTGTAGGAATAAATACATTAATTAGTTTAATATTATAAACTCAACTAATATATACTCTAGCAGATTTTCAAGTGGATACTTTAAAAAACAATAATTTTACCTTATATCAATTTATGAATTAATCTAATTATGGTATATAATATATATAAATATTATTAAGAATATATATCTCCAACCTAATAATGTTATTTGGTGAATCATATTTTTATATTGAATAGCATTTTTCTAATAAAATTTCTTCATTTTTAAAAAATATAATTCTATGTATTTTGTGGTTATATATATTAAATCACAAAATGAAATACATATATTGTTGGCCTTTTAGTTTCCACATAGTTTTCTAACTGAAAATAAATATTTCATAGTAATACTCTTACTCACCTCTAGCCATCGAACTTAAGAAATATTGCTATAATACATTTATTGAAATACAATTATAAATAATGACATTTAAAGATAAAAAAATTAGAAAAAGTGCTAAGAAATTAAGTCTTCAGTTTTATAATATTTAGGATTAATGATTTAAATTATATTATATTAATAAATTTATTGGTTAATTAAAATGTTCAATAATTAAATGTAACAACCAAACCCATAATATGGGCCAATGCAAACTTAGTTTCCTTAAAATTAAAATAGAAATCCTTAATAGCCTTCTTAAGCCCCAAATTAGAAATAAATCTACCCACAGATGGTATTATTGTTGACTTATAAAATTTAAATAGATCCCTCCTTAATAACCTTAAACCATACCTTAAATACCAAATACCATTCCTCCTCAACCTATGAATTAATCTCAGTAATAAATTAGGCCTAATGTCATTTCGAATAGAATCATACCACAACAAGTAAAATGTTCTGATCTTATGCTGCTAGGAACCTCTTAGATCAATTAGAAATTAGGTGTAACCATTTTAATAGTCCCCATAATAATTTATTAATAATGATATCCCATAATCAATTAGAAACTAAAATACTCAATCTCCTCAAGGTCCAGCATCGCAAAAAAGCAATGTCAACCTTTCTGGATAAAAACCCGCATTTGTTGAGTATTTCCCACCAGTCTATGTTCCTCATATTGAGCCAATGATTACATAGACAGTGGTTGATAATCCCATTAAAGTAGTGGACTTAAACAAATTTGAAGAAATGTGGAAGAAGCGAATGCAAGGAATCGAAGAATTATTAGCAGCAAAACAATAACCTGTAGAACCTGATCCATTAGAATTAAGGGCAGTGCAAAATGATGATAGTGAAAGGGTGATAGAGCTTGAAAATGAGCTGTTTAGAACAAAATAATAATTAGAAGATCGTGATAAAGAAATTATGGATCTGAAATCTTAACTATAATCTGCAATTGAACAATTGGATTTTGAAAATTGTAAATATATAATCTATAAATTTAGAATAAAGTAAGAACTAAGCTTCAAAGTTAATATCTGAATTATAAACAAAAATAAGTAATCTTTAGTTTGAACTCAAACAATTAGATTAAAATTTGGAAAAATGTAAAATAGAAAATTTGTAATTGAAAAATGATGTCTAGAATTATAATATGTAATGTTAAATAAAGGATGAGACAATCCAGAAATTGAACCAGTAAATAAAATAATTAACTTTGGAACTCTGTACATTATATAATTTTATCATTTTTAGAACAAAGCAAGAATGGATCTTCTGCTCAAACAACTGAATTATCAATACAAATAAACACACTATAATAAACCATTTCTAATTTAAAAAATGATTTGTTATTGAATTCTTAATTAATTGAAAAATTACAAAGAGAAAATGGTTAATTAAGATAAGACATCTAAAATTATATTGATAAATGTAATGATAAGGATGAATATATTGCTAAATTGGAGTCAGAAATATCAGAATTAAACTAACATGTAGATTCATTAACTGAAGAAATAACAACAACTCAATCAATAAAAACCTTTGAAGAGGAAGCAAAAATTTGGAAGAAAAAGTTCAAAGAGCTGAATGATATTTATCATGCATGCTAGGAGAAACTTATGGTAAAGGAGGCAGAATATGAATCTTTATAGAAATAATAAAGTTCATAAAAAATAGTGACATAAACCACAGTAGTCAAATCAAGTAGTTCCAGATAGGTTAAGAATGTAATATCTAACAATATCATTAGGATTCTGATTACGTTTCAAGCAGTCTAACTTAAAATGATATAGAAAAATTGCAAAATTTGTAAAAACCATTATAATTGTGACATTAAACAAACATATGCCTTATAATAAATTTATCCTACATAATTGGTTGAGATTTCTTTATCATTGAGAATACAACTCTTTCTTCCATATTATAATTTTCATTCTATTAGAAATAAATTGAACCAATACAATATTATTAGATGATATATATATATATCTCACAATGCTTTTAGTTTGGCATCTAAATCGTCCAGATTCTCTTGAGGGTTTACTTATTATTACTATTGTTGTTGCTGCATAGGTTATATGAGGTTATTCTATTTGAGTCCTCCGCCGCCATTGCCAGCTCCAGCAATTTTAGCTTCCACTTCTTATATGTACTTATCGGCATTTTCATCATTATACTCATCCTGATCTTCATTCATGATTTCGCCAATTTACTCTATAGAATTAAATTGATATAATTAATACCTTGTAAGAAATTCTGCTTTTCGCTCTCTATCGAAAATATCTCGATAGCCTATTAAACATTCTTGACATCTATAGCTGAATTTGCCTACTTCATCATCTTTGACATTCCTGACATCACTTATACTAATGTTTCTGTGGTTGCTGCTGAGTTTAATCTTTATAAATATTTAATGCTTAATAAATACTGGAACATGACATCATTCATTTAGGCGTCTAGTCTCTGATATTTTTGAACATATTGCTAATTTCGTAATATAGCCGCTGCTAACATTCTTTGAGTAGCCTAATTGATAATTATAATCGACTACCTTAGGTTCTTTTGCTTTAACTGATTTCTCCAAATCGGTCTTAAGCTTCTTGCTTTACATTTCCATTCTCATAATCTCTCTATTAAAATCCCTTTACAATTTTCTAATTGTTCTTGAGAATTCTTTGACCATTTCTAATAAATAGAACGAAAATTGATACCTTTAACAGTCTTTGGTGGTTGAGGAGGAGGAGGTGGTTTATTGCCCATTTAAAATTCGTATAAAAAATAATGAAGATTTTGTGATTATTGTTTATGTTATATATTCTGTAAATATACATTAATTATTAAATTTAATATGGAAATCCTAAATAATTTATAGAATATTACATTTATTTGATACTAGTAATAATAAGGAGTAGAAAGCAAAACCTATTCAAATTTAATCAACCAGTATTCCCAGAGATACAGGTTAAGCTAATTACAATAATAGTTAATAACAATTTTATTGTTATAATTCCATCCACTTTATTTATAGGTACTAAAAAGAACTCAAATTCTATAAGTTGAATACTTGTTGTCCATTTGATTATGTATTTTATCATAATTCACCATTATAAAATAATTTCGGTATATTATCTCTCAAGGCGAGTATAGTTTTAAGATCAGCCAAAATATTTCAACAATCGGGTTAGTTGAATTGCTGAAATAAACTAATTTTTGTACTGTGGTTTCCAGAGAGGATTGGAATCAAGAGACAAGAAACAGCAACTGAATTTAAATAAAATGTCTGCTGATGTATAAATGAAAAATTCTATTAAATAAATGTTATAACGACCAGTTAACAATTCATATTTGATTCTCATCAAAGAATTATCTAAGTCTTGATAATAGGTCCTCCTTTACTTTATTTGGAATTGTGGCTTAACCTCTAATATATAACATGTCTGTCAATTCTTCAATCGTTATTTTCTCAAGTCCTTTTTATCTTATGACTTCTTTACAGTAATCCTTTAGATCATCTCTCCATCTACATTCAATTAGTTTTTATCTCAAATATTCTTCCAATCTAAACTATTAAATTTTGAATACCTAGAATCTTCACCTGTTTCTCTGAGTTTTTAAGCCAGCAAATTAGTTCTTTGATTGATAAAGTCACCAGCCAATCTTGACTATTGATTCATTAGTAATAAATAATAAATTATAATAAAATGAATTCTATACTAAAAGGAGAATAACCATTTTTTGAATAACAGCGAAGATCAACTATAAGTCCAGAAAATGGGAAACAAATTTAAAATATACTTCATCGCAAAATCAATTATTCTTAGGCTGATTTGATTACTCCTATTGCAATTAAATAAAGTCATAAAAAATAAGCGATTAGTCAAGGATTGCAATAATTGCTTAAATCTAGTCCTTATAGCAAATTAGTATCCTAAAAATCTTAACAATAATTACAGTATTAGGATAGTTTTTCTTAATAACATCTAAATGGTTATACTCCCAATTAACAATAATCTTAGTTGTTGTTTAAGCCGGATGTCAGAACACCCTCCTTAAATTCTACGAATTCAAGTAGTATAAAGCCTAGAATGCGGAACCAAGCCAAAGATTCTTTGCAAAAAAAATCATTTGATTCTCAAAATGCCATTTCTTATAGAGATAAAGATAAGTAAACCATTTCTTAACTTTAAACTATCATATAGAAAACCTCTATCGTGTTATAATAGTACAAAGAGGAACTATAAAAAAATGTTTAAGAGAAGTAAGATTTATTAAGGTAAATCCAGATCTTAGAATAAAATAAGACAAAAAAATGAATAAAATGATTAAAAATTTATTAAATTTTTTCTGTTTCTCCAGAAATATCAATGAATTTTTTTCAATTAATATAATATAACTATATATTTACCGTTTTGACTTTAAATACATTTATATTATACAAAAAAAGAATTTAACTATAAAGAATTTAAATTTATTTTGCATTTAAACTAAACAACCAACTCCTTTTCAGAACATTTTTATCATATACATGTTAGTTAAAATAATATAAAAGTATATAAAGTCATTCTTCTAATGCATAAGAAGTTAAAATTTGTAAGGAATCTTCTAAAATTGAGCTGTCCTAACGACGGGTTTCCTGAAAATAAGAGTCTATTTTAGTTTTTGCATTTTCTGTGTCGATTGCTTAGGTACAATCTCTTAAGACATTTACTTAGTATCCTAATTTGATGGCATCCAAGACAGTGAACAAAACACAATAGTCAAATGCTAATCCTCCAACATATATGGTGTTCACATTTAAGGTTTTAAGCTAAAATATTATGAATGATTAGTACAATTTCATGTAAATTAGTCTTATCTTCTTTGCATCCAAATCCGCTATAGCTATCGTATTTTGAGTTTCTTCCTTTTAGAACAAAGTGATCACCATTTTTGATTTGAATGTCTTTGTGTAATTAGGCACCATAGGTATTTTGGACACAATGAACTGGCCAAAGATTTTACTTTTCCATCTGAGACAATTATTTATGATTAGGGTGGTTGGTTTTGAAAGAGACATGATTTTTAGGATGCCAATCTTAGGTGAAAATCACATTTTTGAAGTATTTTCTGACTTTGTTTATCTACGGAATGATCTTAGAGGCATTTTGCACAGGAAGTGATCCTCCTTCACAAAAATCATTTTGAACATCAACTATGATGAGTGCTGAGTTTTCCATTTTATTATTTCTATAACTATTGTAAATAATTTTATTAATATTACAATTTTAACAAATGCAAAAACTTAAATACTGCATTTTTTGTCTATTAGCTTGATACCAGAATTAATTATTATGTCATTCTATTTTTATTTTAATCAGAAAAATTATAAATAGTATATATTATATTAATAACATACTATTACTTATAATTAAAAATACAGTATAAAATAATATTTAAAAACCAAACCGTAATTAAGAATTACATTTAATTATTGGTTTGTTTAGTATTATAATATTACTGAAGGCTATGACTTCGATAACAAGGCTTATATTCTTAATCCTCTCATAATTTTACGTAGTATACTCCAATTAGTACTAGAGTAAAACTATTCTTCCTATATATCAAGTAATTGCTATTTTCACGCCTCGAATCTCTTTAAAAACATTAAAATTAGAATTCCTTATAAATTACAAAGGTTAAATAGGTTCACATAGGTCCTAAAGGTAATGGTTTCTAAAGGTTAATCTTATCAAATAATATATGTAAATTAGTCCAAATACTAGAATTGTTACTTGAAAATATTTATTTCCAATAGACACTGCATTCCATAGTTAAAGTTATTCTAGAATATTGTTCTAAGCGGAAAATTATTAATTAAGAATAATTATTATATTAAATGCAAATTCCAAATTACGATAGGGACTCAGTATGTTCATTTTTTAAGAAGCTTACAGGAGATATATTATTTTATCTAGATGAAATGAAATCTGACTTTGCCAAAAACCCTCCATAAACAAATATAAAGGACAGAGTGCTTGTAATTATGGTTTCTTAATTAGTTATGGAAAGATAAATATTAATAATCACTCAATCAATGCATAATGACTTATATTATGAAAACAGAGTAAGTTGATGTTTCATAATTCTAATTTAAAGAGTTTTTAGATAGAGTGACTGACGAGTATTAAAATGATCAAGAATTCATGGATTTGTTAAAGCAGTGTAATTAAAGCATAGAAAATCTTAAAGATTTCATAAGAACAAACTTAGCGAAAGATCCTTCCATTTATGTAATAAAGGATATTTGATTTTAATTTCTTTTACGATGGAAAGATGAATGATAAATTAACTATTAGAGGGAATATTTAATGGAAATTAATATTTTATAATTTATTAACCATTATGTAAGTCACAATGATTCTAAAGCACTTTTTGCTTAGTATTTAACTTCAGCATCTTAATCATCACTAAGAGTTTATAGAATTTTTTTCATAGGATCAACAACATTACCTCCCTTTTCTTTAGCCAATTATATGGATGTTCTGCAAACGTTGCTTCTGATATTAGCAACTGAATCTTTAGCCGTTGCTTATAGAATAGGGACTATAGTTTTTATAATGTAATCATTGTTTAATTAAGAAGTAATTTGCTATAATAAAATGAGTGTAATACATTGATTGTGAATAAAACAGTTAATCGATGAAGATAGTTTTAAATTGATTAAAATGCCCATATTTTTGTTAATAGGTTTTTGTCTGCCCAAGCTAATCCAAGAATAGAAATCAATTAGGCTGTCTATTGGATTGCTGTTTATCTAACCGAAAAGACCTTGTCGCCCATCCAATCTAATAACAATTTCAGAACCTTATCAGATAAAAACTCTGGGCCTATTGCTCTTGCAAAGAAACTCAAAACTTCTATAGTTGAAGCCCTTATTCTCCAATTCTTATCTTGTGCTAATTCTGTCAATGCTGGGATAACACTTTGGGATAAAGAATCAACACCCAACACATTTGTGATAAGACTTAATTTCTTAAAGAGGGTTATTCTGACTTCTGAATCTTAGTCTTTGAGTAAGGTCAAAAAGATTGGTAAAATTTGTTCACTTGTATTCTTCTTACCGATAATTGGACATAATGCCAAGACTGAAGAGGCTAAGGCGTCTTTAAGTTTAATTATTGATTAGTTATACTTCTAACAAATGCATTTGTGTCAGACTGTATTGTTTTCAAAAGAGGGATTAGTTTATTTAGAATATCTTCTGGATCCATGAGACCACTGACTCTTTCAATTTTCAAAGCAGCAATTGATTTCATCTCAGGTTCAGCATCTTAGAGGAACTTGAGATGATAATTCTAGAAATTCTTTCTATAGCCTTCTTTAGTTACAGCTTCACCTATCTTTTTTATATTCAATATTCTTACTTCAGCCAATTTATCACAAAAATAGAATCTGACTCTCCATGATTGATCTTCAGCCAGTTATTTAAACATAGTAAGAACAAGGTTTTGTTATTTTTGGAAGAAAGCGGTTTTACTTGATTGTATTAATGCATCTACAATGTACATTCTAATGAAGTCCTATTCGTCTTTAATGAAGGAATTCAATGTGTTTTGAATGAAGGTTTCGTTTACTAATGGGAAATGTTTAACCAAATCCTAAATTTTGAAAAAATTAATACTTGAAAATACATGGATGTGAATTTTCTAACTTGAGGAATTTGATCCTAAGACATTTTGAGTATGATATTTATTAAGTCGTTCTGATTGTTCTATGAAACTTGATTAAAGATTGCTGGAATTAAAATTGCTACTGCATTCTTAGCCATGTAATAATCGCTATCATTTAATCTCTTTATAATTCCAATTGATAATTCTTCTACTTTCTTTTAGTCTGGAAGTTGAGTTAGACATTTTTTGATTTGATTGGCAGCCTTGATAAGTAATTATTTTACTTTTTCTCTTACTGAAGCATCTTCCACTCTGCATAAGGCTTCAAATGTAGGCAGTAGAACTTATGCTTAACCTCCTACAAGCTCTACAAAATTTCTTGATAATGAATCTACTAATTCGATCAATACTTCGTCATCATCATCCAACAATTCTACATTAGATATTTGCATACCTTAAATGAACGGAATGAGTTCATTTTTTGTTCTATCTGGACCAATTGTGCTAGCAATTAAATCTAAATGTTTGACTGAATGAATCCTTTTTCGTATGTCATCACTTTTTAGTTCATCAATAATCAAATTTATTGCCATTCCAGTGGTATTTTCGATTTTGGGCATCTTTTAATTAATTTATTAAATACATTATTTTTTCTTTCGATTTTTATTTTAAATATTAACCGTTGATATGTAATAAGGCTAAGTCAAAGTTATTGGTAATTACAGCTACAACCTCAAGCATTGTTTGGGAGAAGGTGCTTATGGTAAGGTATACTAAGGACTTGATACAACCAGTAATTTAAAGGTGGCTATCAAAAAACTTGATTTACGTAATTTTGAAAGAGATAATTATCTTAAACAATCAATCATATAAGAAATTGAAATTCTAAAGAAATTCAATCATAAAAATATAGTCAAATTTATAGATTTGATTTCAACTCAAAGAAGTCTCTACATCATAACAGAATTTTGTAAAGATGGAGATCTCAGAGAAATTATGAGTAGAAAAAAATACAATGAATAAGATGCATGGAAAATCATGAAACAAATCATCCAAGGTTTCCGTGAACTAGTATCCAATGCTATCATTCATAGAGACTTAAAACCAGCAAATATTCTTAGTCATGAAGGAGTATTCAAAATTGCTGACTTTGGATTCGCTAAATATGTTGATAATTTTAGTAATCAATTATTAAGATCATGTGTTGGATCTCCACTCTACATGGCTCCTTAAATTTTAGCAAGAAAACCCTATTCTACCAAATGTGATATATGGTCTCTTGGTGTCATATTTTATGAGATGGTCTTTACTGATGTTCCTTGGAAAGGCAGGGATGAAAGAGACTTATTGAAGAATATCTTAAGTGTTCCTGTCTCAATCAAAAAAGGATTTCTGACTTCTAAATCTGAAGAATTCTTGAGGAAAACATTAACAATTGAAGAAAATGATAGAATATCATGGGAAAAAGTCTTTGAAATGTTTGAAGTTGTCAATCTCCCCTCTGATCAGAGAATTCAAACCTCTCCTAATTTAAATATTAGGGTTAATAATCATTAGAATTCATCAAATAATGAAAAGGAAAGAAAGAAATCTATCTTCTAAGGTCCATCATAATCACCTATGCATTAAGCATCTGCTCCTGTTTAACCCATATCAGTCTAACCTTAAACTCCATCTATTAAGAGTCTAAAAAATGAGATTATTTTTAGGAATTTTGTATTGACAACTGAATTATTCCCAAGATACACTTCTAACAAAAATAGCATTGTCGAAAAACTTATGATTTGCTTGAGTAAAACTAATATGGCAATGCAAAATAGTTTATACACCTTAGCTAATCAGATCATGGTCCCAGCGATAAAGAAAGACCATGATTAGTATGTATAATTTCATTCAGATTTAATTGAAACATTATAAAGAAATGGATAATTGTAGCATTGTGATAGAGAATTAGATATAAATTCAAAGGATTAGAATTGCACCGATAGCGAATGCGATAAGTTAAATATAACCTTAACAACATTAATTAAATAATTATGGTATTATTAATTTCTAGATTATTTTTAGTTAAGAAATGCTTGAGGAACACAAGAGAGCTCCTTCTAGACCTATCATGTTATTGTTAGACAATCTAGTGGATATTATTATAATTCACAAAAAAGTCCAAAGATGTGTGGAGATAGATTACGATTAATTAAATGCTGAGAAGGCTGAAGAGGATGACCCAAGGAAGATTATGGATACTGTTATAGAAAAGCTTAGACAAGCTTGATTTATTTTTCAATATTTTTTTCTACCGATAATCATTGCAGTTATTGTAAATAATTTCTTAAATTTTATAATATAACTTTTATTGTTGTAATTAATTGTAATCAAAAATTTACAAAATTAATATAATCTAACAATTTAAAAATAAGGATTATTCGTTTTAAGAAGTAATTGATGATTAGAATCCAAAAAACCATTGTTATTGTAATTCATTTTTCTTTTTTATTTTAAACTTATAATTATCACATAATGTCATTCAAGATTTAACTTTATTTACTTTTATTATTAATATAATAAATCCTAGATGGGTAGCAATTGTTCATTCAATTAATAAGTTTCAGAAAGAAGTACAATGATGAGATAAGATTCATTTTTTGATAATGGCAGAATTGCCAAACCTCAATTGGATAGTATGATAGGAGCAAGTTAATTGACATAAATGGAAATCCCAAATGCGTAATTGAGATCCCCTACTAAACCTAACATATCCAAACAAAATGAAATTAAATCTTTAGTTAGAGTTCCTTCCGAAGAAAGCTTGTTTCAAAAAGAATTTAGCTAAATTAAGGAAAGCAAAAAATAAACCAATCCTAAGTCTGAAATGGTTATTCAACCTAAATTACAGATCAATTTGCAAGCTTAAAAATAACGATATCGTTAATAAAACCAACAAGAAAGCCCTAAATTTTAATCATCTACTAAAAAAAAAAGGTTATAAGAAAAAAGCCAATCTCATTCTCCTATCTAAAATCAATAGGTTCCTTAGGAGAAATCAAAGAAAAATAGAGAATCTCTAAAAAATACTAATAGGCATATCGAGAAAATAGCTCCAAAAAGGAAATACTCTGATTTACCTGAGAAAAAAGAGAAAGTTTAACAAGTTAGAAGAAAGATAAGCGATATTTGCGATGATCACGCATACATCATTGGATTAGATAGTCCGACTAAATTTAGATCATTAACTCCCAATTCAATTTTAAAAAGAAAAGAATCTGAAATTGAAACCAATTCTCCTCAGAAAAAGTAAGTCAGATTCAAGGATTAAAGATAAAAAAATCTTATTTGTACCTGATTCAATAAATATATATATATATAGATATTTTAATTCATGCATTAAATTATGGAAGTTTATTAATTGTTATTTCTAATTCATTGCAATGAATTTAAACTAGATCATTATCTTTATTTTTTCTATATTCAATGAATGTTGATTCTTTAAAGTTTTAAGACTCCATTTAGTACAAATCTAAATCAATGATTAGTATAGTATATAAGCACAATAACTTAGATTAGATCCAATCCCTCTACAAAAATTAGTTATTCTGTAAATTCCCAGCTTAGGCTTTTGCCAGAGAGGACTTAATCTTAGGATATAATTAGGTATATAGATATTTTTATGTTTAAATCTTTGTGCATGTCTTGAGATTTAAAGTTAATTATGGTCCTAATTTCTATTAGGATGTATCTTCCATTGTGATAAGATAACTACAAGCCTTCTCCAAATATATTTAAAATTCCTTTTCTACCTTCTCATTTTATTGTGTTATAGTAGCTTACATTTATTAATACTATTGAGATTATTTAAATGCGATGAAATCTGGAAATTCGAAAATATTCTTTTCCTGTTATACATCTTGAAGCAGAAGTCTTCTGATTACATATCCTCTCTAACCGTTATATATATTAATACTTTATAAACTAAGGCAAGTGGAACAATCCATTATTTTCCTGATAGCAATAATTTTTGATTCAAGTCATTAACGGTGAGAAAAATATATTCTATAATTGATAAATAATGAAAATATCTAATATAGATAAAATGATACTTTTTTATATAATCAGCAAACTTTACGTTTTATTAAATTTGATTATCTTAATTTCTATTAAATTAATCTTAAGGAATTAAAAATTTTGGATCCTAAAAATCCAAAATTTCTAAATTTTAAGGATTTTATTAATAATAATCTTTGTTTCCTAATTCATATTTTTAATCTAAATTAGGTTTCGGCGTTATTATTTAGTAATCCTATAAAGGTTTTTTGATGAATTCTTATTTTTTACCTTATATCTATTAATTCTTCTGTTTAGTCTAAATTGTATTTTAGTTAGAATTAACCTAGTCAGATAAGATTAAATCTTCAATTTTATCATCTTCTTTTGTATTTAATTATACTTGAGCAGGTGTTTTTAACTTATGTTGTTTCAGCCCTTCTTATTATTTATTTTAATAACCATACTCTTCCTTATCTATGTTTATAGATTCTTTTAATTATTAATTAGGTAAATTTAAAAAAGGAGATTTAGAATTATCTTGATTAATGTGTGAATTTGGAATTTGTGTGTTCTAAAATTTTTCAGTTTAGTTTGAATTTGGAACATTTAAATATGATAAATTAGTAATTTGTTGGTTTTGGTGGTATCTCGTTGAGATATCGTTGTTTGAATGTTTGACTATTTTTTATGCATTTGCTACATGATTCATTACAGGTTTATTAATTATAATATCAGGTATTTAGGATCCATCAGACATAAATGGAGAATTTCTTTCTAATTTTTGTACCTATTAAGATTTGTTAGAGTCTCTGCTTAGAAGTGGCTATTATAACTTTTATTGAGAGAGTACAGGCTTTTAATAAATGAAATAATTTTAGGTTTTATAGTTCGAGATTGCACTTTATTAAGAGTTTTGTTATCCATTTCCATTTTAATAAAATGTTTGCTATGTTATATTATTCTTATTTATATTAGAGGCAGATTATTTTTTATTTTATAGATTTTTAGTCATAGTTGCTGATGCAAAATCATAGGATGAGCATTTATAATTGGAAATTGGAATTTATCTTTGTTATTTTTGAATAGCTGCTCTGACAGATTCATTATGAATTGAATCTAATTAATTGTTGGTTTGGTAGTTTTATTATTTAATAGCTCTTTATGATGAATGAAAACTAGTTGTGTTATTTGAAGGAATGATAGTATTTGTAAAGTCTATTACACTAGAACTGTGTTTCTTGACCTATTATTTTTAATAAAACAATCTCCACTAGCCTAGTTCTTAGAATGTAGGTCTTTGAGTAGGATCCAATTTAACCATTTTGAGGATTGATTCTAAAATATCATAGTTTAAGTGATTATTTTCTGCTTCTTATTTGATATAATAATCAATTTAATACTAGTCCTTGCATTAATAGATTTTATCAGTCATGCTTTTTGGGCAATTAAGGTTTAAGAGCAATAAACCAAAGAGATAGGTTTTAGTTTTTGTTGTGTATTCGAAATCTCTGTATTTTTTAGTTACAAAATCATCTATTCCGTAATCCAAAACAAATATCTAACCTTCATATGTAAAAAT